AGCTGAACAGGAGCCAGAGTGTGCCCAGGGGGACAAGAGGGCCAATGGATCCTGGCCTGGCTCAGGAACAGTGTGGCCAACAGGTCCAAGGAAGTGATTCCTGCCCTGGACTCAGCGCTGGTGAGGCCACCCCTGGAGTGCTGTGTCCAGCTCTAGGCCCTCAGCTCAGGAAGGATATTGAGGTCCTGGAGCAGGTCCAGGGAAGAGCAGCGAGGCTGGGGAAGGGACTGGAGCACAATTCCCATGAGGAGAGGCTGAGGGAGCTGGGGCTGTTCAGCCTGGAGAAGAGGAGGCTCAGGGGAGACCTCCTCACTCTCTGCAACTCCCTGACAGGAGGGGGGAGCCAGGGGGGGGTTGGTCTCTTTTCCCAGGCAACTCTCAGCAAGACAAGAGGGCTCGGGGTCTTCAGCTGTGCCAGGGGAGGTTTAGGTTGGAGATTAGGAAGAATTTCTTTGCAGAGAGAGTGCTCAGCCATTGGAATGGGCTGCCCAGGGAAGGGGTGGATTCTCCATCCCTGGAGGTGTTTAAGGACAGACTGGATGTGGCATCAGTGCCATGGGCTGGGAACCACGGCGGGGTTGGATCAATGGTTGGACTTGATGATCTGGGAGATCCCTTCCAACCCAGCTGATTCTATGATTCTGTGAATTCTCCCCTCAGGAGGACACCATCTCCATCAACCACAACTGGGTGAACGGCTGCAACGTGGCCATCATGTGGTGCTTCCTGCAGGATGAACTGGCAGCTGTCCAGAGGGAGATCAACCAGTGGAAGGATCCTATGGATGATTGGCACCTCCAATGCCAGGTACAACATGGATCTGACTCTCCAAAGGGATCAGATATTCCAGAGATTTATTGTGCCACTTATCAGCACTCTGAGACACAGAATTCCTTCCCCTCCTACCTGGAATTTACATGTTTCTTAAAGAATTAGGGACTGGTGGCAGCTTGATTTTGCAGGAGGTCAAAATATTCCCTTAATAAGCTTGGGAATGCCTTGTGCCAGAGGATATTTGGTATGTCCAGGTTGGGATGTTGTTTGGAAAGCAAATGTTTCAACTGCTCTCCTTCAACTTCTCCTTTCAAGACTGTTCCTGGGAGAGCTGGGGGGGTTCCCCTGGAGAAGAGACGGATCCAGGGAGAGCTGAGAGCCCCTTGCAGGGCCTAAAGGGGCTCCAGGAGAGCTGGAGAGGGACTGGGGACAAGGGATGGAGGGACAGGACACAGGGAATGGCTTAAAGCTGAAAGAGGATAAATTTAGATGGGATATTGGGAAGGAATTGTTGGCTGGGAGGGTGGGGAGGGACTGGGATGGATTTCCCAGAGAAGCTGTGGCTGCCCCTGGATCCCTGGAAGTGTCCAAGGCCAGGTTGGAGCAACCTGGGATAATGGAAGGTGTCCCTGCCCATGGCAGGGCTGGGCCTGGATAATCCTTAAGGTCCCTTCCAACTCAAAATATCCTGGAATTCTGTGAAACAGTGAATTTAAAACAAGGATAATTTAGGTGAAGTTTCTGTGTCTGCAAAGTGATGCTTTAAGAGCCCATATTTCTGCTGAGCAGGGTCATACCTTGGGTGCTCTCCTGGCTCTGGCTGGGAAAGAATTCCTTCCCTCCCAAAATCTTTGCCATGAAACAAATGTAAAGTTAATTTCTGGAGGCTGTTCCTGGCTGGATTTCCTCCAGAACTACTTGGAAAACACAGCAATTCAGTCCTTATTAAAATCAGGCCGTTGCTTTTGGGGCCGCTGACACTTCAAACACAGATCACCAAAAATGGTTAAATACAATTATTTATGACTCCATATAATTATTCCCTTGATAAAATCTGATTTGGGAATTTTGACTGGAAAGCTGTGGCTGCCCCTGGATCCCTGGAAGTGTCCAAGGCCAGGTTGGAGCAACCTGGGATAATGGAAGGTGTCCCTGCCCACGGCATGGGGTTGGCACTGGATGATCCTTAAGGTCCCTTCCAACTCAAAACATCTTGGAATTCTATGAAACATAATGATTTATGATTCCATATATTATAACATGATCTGGTGATTTTTCCCTGGAAATTCAGGTGTTTAAATTAAATTAAATTTCAATCTCTACCCAATTTTAGTTGATCATGAAGTCCTGCACGGGCATCGACTACAAGGAGTTCTACAACTTCCTCAAAGTCATCGCAGAGAACAGGATTTCCGTCTTGGAAAAGGGCCTGGATGACGAGGCTTTGGCCAAGAACACTTCCAAAGCTGCCATTTCCACCTTGGGAATGCTCCACGCCGTGTTTGACCTCAAGAGGACGGTGAAGGTCTTGACGTCGCTGAGCGCCAACGAGGATTTCAAGAAGCTGGATCTGACCTCCCTCTCCCCCCCTCCCGAGGCTTTGCTGCACCACCTCAAAGCTGCCATAGACACAGCCCTGCTCTGACTTCCCATTCCCTGGGTTTTTTTGGGGAAAACCCGACCTTTCCCAAAGGCTTTGGAGAAGGTTCCTCCTCCCCCCGGTCACCAGCTGAAGTACAAAGAGCTTCGCTACCTTTGGGAGTCATTGGAGGAGGGGGAAAAAAACGATCCCAGAGAAAGGAAAACCCCCCCAAATCTTGGCAGGATTTTATTCCCAATCAGGGAAAGGGGACAGAAGTTCCCCATGGATAACCAAATTCCCTGTGCTTCCAGAGCAAAGCTGCACTTAAGCTCTGCTTTGTCTCCTCACGGCTCCACGATTTGAAGACTTCCAGGTGAAGCTCAGCTCATCTTTTCCTTCTTTTTTTTTTAGGGAATTTGAGCTGGTTTGCTTCCATGGAAGCCTGAGCTGGAGCCTGGAAGTGCTGGCTCTACTTGTGTCCTCCAAAGCTGGAATTCTCAGGTGGAATCAGCCCTCCAACAGCTCCAGGATTAAATTTAACATCCTAATTAAGCCACTTGGAGCCCTGATTGCAATTAGAGCACTATTAATTAAGCATGTGACCCCCCCCCTCCCCTTTTCCCCCCAAGCTGAAAAGGAGGAATTGGAATGCACTCCCAACATTCCCACACACAATTCCAAGGCACAGCAGGGATTTCTTGGATCAGGGAAGTCAGCCAGGAGCCTCCTCTCAGCTGCTCCAGCGTGGTGGGCACACACCAACCAGCCCTTTTGCATGGTTCCAACAGCACAATTCCCAACTGGAATGCCCAAATATTCCCAGGGAAAACCTCCCTCTTGCTCTTCCAGAGAAGCACAAATGGCTGCACACTGTTACCTTCTTAGGGCTCACTTGAATTCTTGCTCAAGAACTTCCTCGATTTTTTTTTTTCCCCAGAAAAAGCAGCTACAAACTGTATTTTTAGGAAGTGCAACAGCAGAAAACCCAGAGTAGGCTGAGAATTCCCTTGTTTTCTAGAGAATTCCATGGGTTTGTACTCGCATGCACTTTTTGCATGTCCTTTTTCTAGTAGGAAAACAAAAAAATCTGCATTTTCGAGTAGCAAGTGGTACCTGGAATGAAAAAAATCCTCACCCAGAGCATGGAAAAAAAGTGGAGAAAACAGGATTATTTTAATTTTTTTTCTGGATTAAACCATCCCAGTGCTCCAACCTTCTGGCAGGAGGTTGGAAAATCGTGGAGTTTGAAGCAGATCCACAATTCCAATTTCACAGCTGGTCCTTTAGGGCTCTTTCCATTCTCCAAAAAACTCCAGCTGGAGTTTTCCCTCCTTTTTAATGAAGAAAAGGGACGTTTCCCAAAGGTGAGGGACAAAGATTCCGAGCTGCCAATCCCGTGGTTTGGTAGGAAAAGCAGGTTTTTGGGCCTTGCATTCCTGCATGTTGTGACCCTGGTGGTTAAACCACATAAAATGAGATTTATGGATCCAGATTTGCACTTGGAATCCCTTCATTCCCAGGAATGAGCAAGGCAGGAAAGGAGCCACGTGTTTCCTAAAAAATCAATGAATCCAAGCAAAGCCTTGAAGGCAGCAAAGAGATTTTTAGGAATAAGGAGCAGGGAAGCCTGGAATCTCCCTTCAAATTTCCAACCAGCTTTATTTATTTAAATACAAAGTTCCTGGAAAGCATCCAGTAGGAGACTCCTCATCCCAATATATTAATTCTTGTAATCAGTGTTATTATTTATTTATTAAAGCATAAATCCATGTGAGAAACAGGAGTTAGATTGTGTTTTGCCTGGACAATTAATTAAAAATCAAACTTTAAAAAATAATTTAAAACAAAAGCAGGTTAAAATCTGTGTCAAAACCTCTCCAAATGCGCCTCACACGGGACTGGTTTTGTCTGGGAGGGACAAAAAATCCCAAATATCCCTTTGGTTTTCCAAAGGAAGGCTCAATCCCAGCCTGATTTTGGTGTCTGTGGGGGTCTGGCAGCACAAATCCCCTTGGAAAAGCAGCAGGAAAACCAGG